CAGCCCCGCCCCCTGCCCTAAGCCCCGCCCCCTGCCGCTCTTAAAGGCGCCGCGCGGGGTCACGGAACGCGCGGGACGGGAGCGGCGCTCGGTGGGCACCGGGGTTTATTGGGGGGCTGGGGGACAACGGACTCGGACTGGAGAAATTCGGGATCCCGGGCTGGCCGGTACCGGTAACAGGGCCATGCTGCCGGTACCCGTACCGGGGAACTTCGGTGCCGGAACGGAGGATGACGGTACCAGTACCGGGAGCATGGTGCCGGTACCGGCGTCTGTAGTGCCGGTAGGGGGGACTTCGGTGCCAGAATGGAGGATGCCGGTACCAGTACAGGGAGCACGGTGTCGGTACCGGGGAACTTCGGTGCCAGAACGGAGGATGCCGGTACCAATACCGGGAGTATGGTGCCGGTACCGGCATCTGTATGGGGAACTTCGGTGCCAGAACGGAGGATGCCGGTACCAATACCGGGAGCACGGTGCCGGTACCGGGGAACTTCGGTGCCAGAACGGAGGATGCCGGTACCAGTACTGGGAGCACGGTGCCGGTACTGGGGCCGCTGGTGCCGGTACTGATGCCCGTACCGGCGCTGTAGTGCCGGTACCAATGGCCCCGGTGCCCCTCTCACTTCGCCTTCTGCACTAACTCTGTCAGGTTCAGGGGTGCTTTGATGCCTGCGGAGACACGGCTGGCGTTAGTGCCCGGCCCCGGGGCAGTGCCCGGTGTCCTGGGGCACTGCCCGGCCCCGCGTCACCGTCCCGCTCCCTCCCCGTCCCGCTGGGCACGGCGGTGACAGCCGGTCCCGCCGCGGAGCCCCGGGCGAGCAGCAGCGCTGGGGGAACCGCGGGCACGGGGATGGACAGACGGATGGACACGCGGATGGACGCACGGACGGGCTCTGGCTACGGAGAAGCGGGAGGGGAGCGCCTGCCCTACGCACGCCACGGGAGAACGGGCCGGTTGTGCGGGAACAGAGCGGGTTTTGGGCGGTGCCACGGCGGACACGGGACCCGGCCCGGGCCCCGCTCGGTACCTACGGGCAGGCTGGGCTGCGGGGCCACCCCGGCCGCCAGCCGGGCTCTGCTCTTGGCCAGAGTCTGCAGGACTGGACCGCGCAGCGCAGAGAGGAGAGAGAGGTTAGACAGGGCACCGTGACCCCCGGGGCTCCCGGCACGGGGCTGGGCCCACGGACACCAGAAGGGATCAATCCCCCGCCGGTAATTAACGAGCTCGCTGGGAAAACCGGGACACGGAGCAGGAGGGAGGGAGGAACCGGGTGGGACACCGGAGTTACCTTCTCGGGTGACGCTGGAGGCGGCGTCCAGAGCCTTGGTGCCGATGTCACCCATCATGTTGTCCACGGCGCGGTGGTGCTTGAGGAAGAAGGGCCGGATGATGCTGTGGTAGATGAGCTGGGAGCCGTTCCAGGGCACTGGGGCCATGCACCACACCAGGAACAGGCACTGCGGGCACAGCAGGGGCTCAGCGGCTCCGGGGCCACCCAGCAGCACCCAAAGCTGGAGCTCACTGGAGTCCCCCGGGATCTGAGCTGGCTGCGGCCCCTCTGACGCCTCAAATTCCAGTTTTCACATATTCCAGGTTCTGTACTGCATTAGTTTATAACTCTGGGCTTCATAGCCAGTTCTCACAGCTCAGGCCCACAGTCCTTTTCCAGCCCCAGAACCAAGGATGCTGCTGCAGCTTCAGGCCAAAAAGCATCGACAGCAGCAAATTTAGGAGAGCAAACTTGGGAGCGTGGGACTGCATAACCCAGAGCTGGAATTGGACAATTAAGCCCAAAATGGACCAAAACTTAGAAAGTGTGAAAACCCATGACCCGGCAGGTCCATCCTGGGTGTAGCCACGGCCGGGCTCTCACACTGCCCAAGGTGTATCCTGCGAAAAATTTTTAATAAATCCCCACTTTATTCCTTTAACACCATCTAGCCTCTGTTTCAGGGAGCCTCTTTGGACACCTGTTGGGAAGGATGAATAAATATAATTGCCTGGCAAAAGATTTACGATAATACGGCCAGGATGAAAACAATCCTCCTTACATTGGACAATACCCGTACCTACAGATAAGTCCAAAAGTCAAATGAATTACTCCATCTCAACCCCCAAAATGTACAGTTCACCCCACACCTGAAACATCAGGTGTCTGTGACCCCATTGGCCTAAATCTTGTTCCAGCCCACCTTGAAGCCCCCTGACAAGGGGTCTCTGAGGGGCCAGAGGCTCTCTTGGATCTTCCCCCCTCTTGGAACTCCCCCCATCTCCTGGAGCATCCTCTTGTCTCTCTCCTCTCCCATCCCCTCAGGCCTTGCCACGTGCTAAGTCACTAACAGCCCATACTGACTGATTGCACAACTCTTCATGATGATTCCATTGCAGCTCATTAATATTTTGCAAATAGCTATATTATAATTTTGGTTTGTTTTCTTGCTTCTTTATTTTACCAGGAACTGAAACTGCATTCATTTTTTTTTTTCCCCCCACAGGCTTTTTCTTCATGCCTTCCAAAACCAGAAATTTTATTTGTCCTTTTCCAAACCTCTAAAACCCCAAGTACTATTCATGAGTTTTCCAAAGCAACCTCTCACTTTTTGGGACTTGCTTCATCTTGCACTCTAAGGAGCTTTGGATAAATGTTAGATACTTTTGAATTGAATGAATCAGTCTTCTTGAATACTCTCTGACCTGTACTTTTGCTAAGTCTGCAAAATACTTCTGGTTATCATTCTTTTTGGTTGACTGTATTGATAATGTGAGCGATGCCGCCGTGGCACGGCCGTTACCTTCCCGGCGTAGTAGAAGGGGAACCAGTAGAGGAAGAGGTCGGAGAAGAACTCGGCGATGCTGAAGACGCCGTAGACCACCCAGTAGGTGAGCCACATGGTGTCATCCTCCTTGCTGTTGCTCTCGATGGCTTTGATGCTGAGGAAGGACAAGGAAGGAAACAAGGAAGGAAACAAGGAAGGAAAGAATGAAACAAGGAAACAAGGAAGGAAACAAGGAAAGAAGGAAGGAAACAAGGGAACAATGTAAGAAACAAGGAAAGAAGGAAACAAGGAAGGAATGAAACAAGGAAACAAGGAAGGAAACAAGGAAGGAAGAAAACAAGGAAAGAAGGAAGGAAGCAAGGAAGGAAACAAGGAAGGAAGGAATGAATCAAGGAAAGAAGGAAGGAATCAACGAAACAAGGAAGAAAGGAAGGAAGAAAACAAGGAAGGAAGGAAGGAAGGAATCAAGGAAACAAGGAAACAAGGAAGGAAGGAAAGAAAGAAGGAAGGAAGGAAGGAAACAAGGAAACAAGGAAGGAAGGAAGCAAGGAAGGAAAGAAGGAAGGAAACAAGGAAACAAGGAAGGAAGCAAGGAAGGAAGGAAACAAGGAAGGAAGGAAGGAAGGAAACAAGGAAAGAAACAAGGAAGGAAGGACACGGCTGCTGCAGTCCCGGGCTGGGCTCCACCTTCCCAAACCCCCCAGCCCGGAGGGAACCTGCCCACTGGCTGCTCTGGGCTGGCACGGTCCCAGCCTCTCCAGGAAGGTCTCAAGAGCTTCCCAGCAATAATCGCCTCCTGGCTGAGCAGGGAGAGCTCAGCGAAGGGCAGGGCACGCTCTGCAGGTGCGGCACAGGTACTTACGAGAGGTAGGCGGGGTAGACGAAGCCGATGACATTGCAGAGCAGGGAAGCGCCGTAGCCGAACATGAGGTACAGCCCCAGGAAAGCCAGGGAGCCTGCGGGGCACAGGGGATGCTCGGGAGCCTGCTGCCACCGGGGGAGACCCCGCTCGGTCTCCTGAGCGGGATTCTCATCCCAGAGCAGGCACGGGCGTGTGCCAGGGGGTGAAAGCCACGCCGGGTTAATTCCACGTCGCGGAGGTGCTGGATGGAACGAGGCACGGGGGAGGCTGCTCCTCCCCGAGGGAGCCGCGACCCCCTCCCCTGGCTGGGATGGGGCTGGGATGGG